GAGAAGAGTGTGGCTCCATCCTCCTTCAACCCACCCTTTAGATATTTGTAAGCAATAATGAGGTCTCCCTCAGCCTTCACTTCTCCAGGCTAAAGAGTCCCAGCTCTCTCAGCCTTTCCTCATACGGGAGATGCTCCAATCATCCTCCCCCTCTAGAAGGTCATCCTCCCCCTCTAGAAGACTGAGAGGGGATCTTATCAATGCTTATAAATACTTAAAGGGAGGGTGCTAGGAGGATGGGACTACTCTTTTTTCAGTGGTGCCCAGTGATAGGACAAGAGGTAATGGGCACAAACTTGAACATAGGAAGTTCCATCTAAACATGAGGAGGAACTTCTTTACTTTGAGGGTGGCAGAGCACTGGCACAGGCTGCCCAGACAGGTGGTGGAGTCTCCCACTCTGGAGACATTCCAAACCTGTCTGGATGCCGTCCTGTGCAACTGCTGTAGGTGCCCCTGCTTTGGTTAGGGGGGTTGGGCTAGATGATATCTAGAGGTCCCTTCCAACCCCTATCATTCTGTGATTCACTGTATGATGCACAGCAGGCTTTTGTTCAGCTCAGTATACCCTAAGCTTCTCTTTTCATTGTCCTTTAGAAGTGCCAGACTAGGACATACAAAGTCTGATCGGGAAGAAAACCCCAGTTGGTGTCCATGTTTCTTTGCATATGTGTCTGGACTCAGCTTGATACAGGATCCTACCTTCAGGCCTTATCAGAGTTAAAATTCTTAAGCTTGCCAACAGCACTCCTGTGAAAGAAGCGCAATAATGCAAACAGTGGACTATAGGGGAAAAAAAAGTCCAGGTTTATCATGCAAATCTACTAGTGGTTCTTGGACTGACTATAAAACTTGTATTCATACCTTCTCAGAAGAGGTCAAGGTAGTGTTGCAGTCACATATTGAGTCAAAGTGGGTGGCTGTGGCCATCAGAAGGGAAATTTGTCTTCTGACATAAAGAACATGTCCCCTATACTTGGATAGATCTTGGTCAACGTTTTCTTGGGTACATTTGGAAAGACTTCAACATTCAACATGAGATTTGGATGGAGTTGAGCAAGCATGAGGCTTCTAATGGATTCTCTGGAAATATCAAGTGTTTCTGTCTGGAATCACAGAGGAGTCTGGTAGACAAACAGCACATACTGTAGGCTTTTTAATCTTTACCCAGTTGAAAAGCCATTGATTTTCTGAATTGTGCCATGTATCAGCTCTTAATTTATTTCCAGGGTACTGAAGATGAGGGTTAAAGGGTTAAAGCTCGGTATCCATTTCCTTCAAATTTCTCTTGGCAAGCTATTTAGCAATCTTACATAGTTTTAAAATGGAAGGTATTTTCTACATCGCTTTCTTTTTCTAAAATTTTTTCTGGGTTTTTTTTGACAGATCTGCCATGTTTATTTAGTACTGAGACTGGTGACCAACCTCAAAAGTACTGCAGTGTAACAGAATAATAAACTGTATAATAAAATTAGTATCTAGAATTTAAACTAGAATTTCTTGTTCTTGTATTACTGAAATGAGGTGCTGTTCTTGAAAGACTGTAAATCTAAGGATAACAAGTTCCAAGTTGGTAAATTAAAAAAACCCAACAAAACAAAACAAAAAAATCTAGATTATTGGAATTTACAGCTTCTTTTTGAAACCAGCAGATAACAAGGTAGAAGTGGTGGATGTTTTGAATAATGAAATACGTTTGATATGCGGTTTAAAATATCTGTAATGGTACCTAGAAACTTATGCTGTAACTATTAACTGTTAGGTGAGACTTCCTATGTGCATCTTGTAATTTCTGCATCCATCAGGTTTAGAGCTGCTTGTCTTCTCTTGATCAGTTGGCTCTGGTTAGTATCGGAAGCATGGTATGACATTTTGAAGACTGTTTTAGTGGATGGATTGGAAATTCTAGTTCACAAATATGAAGCTCCAGAGATTCATTTATGTCTTCAAAATGTGCATAACCAATATGAAAGTTTGCATTTCTGGAATTTAATTAAAAAAACCCCGATGAAATACTAGAAGCTATGAGATGAACTTATATTACAGAAAGCAAATAGACTCTTTGTTAAAAACAGAATCGTGTTTTCTTAATCTAAGAGCTCATATTGACTCTGAAATGGATACGTTTTACATAACATAGCTCATGGTGACGATACAAGGTTTTTATTCAGATACTCTTTTTGATATGGCACACAATGCCATTATGAATTGCCACTTATTTTAAATCATCTGTTTAAAATTAGGAAAAATTGAAACTGTCAATAAGAATTTTCTTTATAGAGCAAATATGGATAGAAGAGTGCAATCTTTGGGGAACCAAGTGTGAGAGACAGTCATATTTTTCTACGCCATCAGAACTGACAGTTTTGAAACCATGCAACCTAAGTTATTTTGGCAGTAGAAAACAAATATGCTTGATTCTAATCTTTGTTTTGAATGTCCAGCTAAATATTAATTGATGTGTTCTCATTGCAGCATGATATTCCAAGTTTCTTTTTAAATTCAGTAGTTTTATGCAGCTTGGTTTATTTAAATAGGTATGGTTATCTTCTGTATGCAGGCTTATCGGTAACAGCAGAACAAATAAATCCGCATGGTTCTACTGTACGGAAAACAGAAGCTAGAGTTGAAGATGCATTTCGGAACAAACAAAAACCCACAATGGCGGTGTGGCCCAACTCAGCGAATAAATGTGCATGTGAGTACCTAGTTGTGCAAAACTAGAGGTACTTCCATTGGCAAACATTTCAAATGCGTGTCTACTACTGTTTACTGATTATTTTCAGAAGTAATTTTAGGCATGAAACGTAGAACTTTAGGAAATACTCTTTTTCTGACTGCATGAAGTCTCTGCCCAAGAAGTTGTAAAAAAGCAGAATTTCTGTTTTTGTGATAAAGAATAACTGTTTTTCTAATATAATGGGAATATTACATTTTATTCACAAAAGACTATTCTCAGTATAAGGCAACTCTGATCCAATGTGGAGATCACTTTTATCTGTTTGAGTGTTAAGATTTGTGTACTCTTTGTGTGTGTGTGTGTATTCACAGGTACATACCTACACGCTGCTTCATACTCTCCCACATGCACTATAGTTGCTTCCTATCTTCAATATGTACAGTATCATGCTAAAAGTTAGAAAAGAGATTAGAAATTTAACTGTATTTTCCTATACAGCACCTGGTTTTCAATAGTCAGTACCCATTATTGGAAGATGTTAAGATACTCTCGCTGCAGCCTACTGGATTAGTCCAATTAATTGATCGAAATCTCTAGAATTGTGAGGAGTGACTTTTTAACTGGGGTGTAGGTAATCCGAGGCACTGCTAATTATTTTCAAGAGGTAAGTTGATTAGAACAGGTAAACACACAACAGATATCTTGGTTATAAACAAAATAAAGACTAAGAGAAAGTAAGTATGAGGGATATACCAATAGTTCTGCATGACTTTCCAAAACTGCTGAAGATGTGAAATCCATTATTAATATATTATTAGTAACATTATCAATTATTGCTTAATAGGCAAACTGATAAATTGGAGCTGACAAATTTTTACTGGTCTTTGTGCTCTCCTTTATGGTACTTTTCCTTGATGAGAAAGAGTTTTCTAGGCACAGTGATAACTGACCAGAGATGAACGTTGCTTATATATGAATGATAGTGTTGATGTCAAATAGTTAAAATTAGAGCTGTATGGTTTTCCTGAAGCTGTAATTTCTTCCGTTAAAGAAATTAAAGTCAATCGAACAGAGTTATGGCTTGAATAAATTGTTTTATAATAAATGGATGATGTGGATCCAAGCTGTTCTTTATTCATTTGGCAGCTTGTGCAAAAAACAGAGAGGAGGGAAGGGATTGTCATGTTTTGGTTGTTTTTTTTTTTTTTTTTTAGTTTCCTATGAAATCCAAGATGGAGAATCTCACTCTGGGTCATCTACAGAGCACTTTCCTGGCTCTGTGTGCCGTGCAGCAGGCGGTTGGGTTTATAGACCTCCAAGTGGGACGCCTCTTGGGGAGATAGCCATTACTGGTGATTTGTATAAAAAGAAGCTTTGGTACCTCTGCTGTCTTCTCTGCCTAGTGTTGTGGGTGCAGTGGCAGTCATTTGAAGAGTAGAGCCATTGACTGAAGGAAACTGCCAGTGTTCCTCTGTGTAAACAAAAATGGAGCTAATGTTAAGGCTCCGTTCCTGCTAGTAGCGTTTTGGTGAAAATTTGAGACTTAGTAGTGTTTGGGGCTATGATCAGACGAAAATCTGCCAGGATGGACGTGATGCATCTAGTAATCAAGAGAGAGAACTGGGCATTGATGAGCAATCAGAAGTCTGCAGAGGGGATTCAAGTAGTACAGGGCACACTTAAAGATTGATGTGGTAAGGTCAGTAGAGATTTGAACTAGGAAGAGTTCTTAGAGTCTTAGAAGGGTGTTCGGAGAAAAGACTTGGGGTAAAGTGAGAGCAGGACAGAGCAGATTGTAGGGAGCTCATATAGCAGTAAATTATATGATGGATTTTGATTGTATAAATGGACAAAACAAGTTTAGAGAAGGGATTTCTGAACAGAGATGAGTTTAGAGGTAGAGTGGAAGTTTTTTTATGGTCAAGAACTAAGGTGTTTTTTTTGAAGACTAAATTGTATTACACAAACAGTAACAAGGACAATGATTCATTTATTTTTATTACACGTGATAAAAACTGTACTTTGCAATTAATAATTCTGAAAAATCTTCCATTTTTTTCTACTATTTGAACTTGAAGTATTTTTTTCCTTAGGTAAATCTATGGAAAAAATCACCAATCATAACATTATTTTCCCTATTAAATTAATTTTTTAGAAGCTTTGTTTGCAGTATTTTAGAAAATAGCTGCAAAAAGGTCAATTCAGATGAAACACTTGAGAACAGAGTGGACTACAGACAGTGCAGTGGCCTTCCCTAGTTTAAAGCCCTGTTTACTGTTCAGGGCTACTACAATATAGAATAAGAATTCCAAAAATGGAGGCTCCGCAACATGCCTGGGAAACCTCTTCTAGTGCTTGGCCACTCTCACAATAATTTCTTTTTCTTAATTTTGAATCGAATGTCTCGTATTTCAATCTCTGCCCCATTGCCTCTTGTTATTGGGCACCAATGAGAAGGGACTCGTTTCACCTTTGTATGTACATGTGTGGAAAAAGAAACTACAGGCAATGTGCAATTTGGTGTGTCTCATAAATTAATCATTGCTAAGTGGTTTAGGTACACGTTAGCACATAAAACATTAGCATCTATTTAATTATTGGGATGCTGTATAGTAAAACTTAGTCCTACTGCTCTATTTTGCCAGTAGATGGAGTATGTTGCATATGATTTTACTGTCTTGCAGTTGCTTCCTTTAGTGTTACATATAAATAAACTGTATGGGGAAGATTTGGTATTACATTCTTACCTTTTTTGCAGTATTTAACAATAATATATTGTAGTGATAGACTGCAGATTTTATGGTTTTTTCATAGAGGAGATGTCTTTTATGCCATGTGATAAATATGATAGCTGTGAAAATGGCATTTGGAGCAAGTAACAAAATTAAAATATTTTGTGTTATGTGAACTATTGAAAATGTACATTTTATTAAAAAAGTCATTTTATGAAATATGAAGTAAACACACTGCTAACTTTTCCCAATAATTGAAGTGGTTAGTGGTCTCTATAGAAGAAACTGTAGGGAGATCAAGCAAGGATATAAAAAACTGTTGCAGAAAATCTAGTTCCAAAATAAATAATATTTTGTGCACTTTTTTGTAGGGTTTTTTTTTAATGTGGTTTTGTTTTGTTTTGTTTTGTTTTTTGCTAAGTGGTGCTCTTTGCTATCATACGGAGCTATGTGTTTCTGCTTTATAATGGAAAGGAGGTTTTGTTTTGGCAGGAATATTTTTAAAAAAGATTTTTTGAAAGAAAAGGTCTTTTGTTTCTAATCTTTCTCAGAAACCGTTTTATTCTCTGTCTTTGTCTGATTTTCATCTCTTTAGTCTCTTTTCTTTGACCTCTCTGCTACAGTGCTGTCCGTGATCGCTGTACTTCAGGCATTCGTATGGCTGCAGTAATGCCTTATCAAAGGACATAGCAGACCAGATGCCATATGTTTTTTAATATTTTAACTCTTTTCTGCCTTTTGGACTAGTTCTGCATTTGGATTCAGAATTTGGATGCTGACATATTAACAGTCATCCAGATGCTAACATTAAAATCTGAGTAGCTGCTGATGTTTTGTCACAAATCCTACACTTGCAGCTGTTTTCTTTTCTCCTCCTCGTCTCCAGAAAAGGGATTTGACTTGGATTAATTCTCATGTGAGAGAGAGGCAAGTACTGTAACTTGACAAACACAGTTAAAAATTATTTTCTGGAATTTGAGGACACCTTTGTCATTTGAGGACATCAGAGCTGAGACAAGTGTCTCTTTTTATTTCTTTACCATTTTGTTCCGGGTACTGTAGGGGTTAGCATTCTGAATGAGAGTAGTTTGATCTCCTGTATCTGGCTCTGGCTTCAACCAGATGCTTTAAAAGGAAGTTACAAACATTTGTGAAATAAAAATTGGTTTTTTCGTGCCTGATTTTGAAGGAAGTACCATCTTAGCTGATTCTGAGTTGGTTAACAGTTCTTTTAAAACCTCATAGGCTTTCTAATTCTTCTAATTTAAAATGCCATTTAGTGAAATTTTGGGTGTTCTAATAAATCCTAACTGCCTGGTTTTGGGATCCCATCAAACTTTTGTACTCTCTGATATCTAGTGGTAAAGAAATTTTATTTCATCACTATTAAATATCTGCCTGTTTAATTAATCAAATATCTTTTTTTTTTTTTTTCTGACAGAGGACAAAGAGGGTCCTACAATTTACCTGATCAGTGACTTTTTTGTATTCTCTTGTTATTCATCTCCTTTGTGACTGAGTAATGCAAGATTGTTCAGCCTGTCTTAAGAAGGTTTTCGTAAAAGCATTATCACCACCTTTATTATAAACATGGTAAAAAGAGAGACTTTTTAGAAAAGTTTTTTTTAATGAGTTCTTCTCAAATAAATTTTTTTCCTCAGTGGTACGCACAAGTGATGTAATAAAAAACAGCTTTCAGACCTTATAGATATATCTTACTCCTTCCTTCCTTTTGAAAACTGGCAACATTTGCTTTAAATTGTTAAAGACTTGGTGTAAAGTTTCTGTCTGCAGAAGCTGTTGATTTTCTCATGCTTATTCCTCATTTCTTAACTTCAGTTTTCTTTGTTCTTTTTTAATTTTGCCTCCTTGACACAGAAGCCACCCAGCAGCCATGAGCCTTTCAGATATGTGATATAAATGAATGCTGTAAACTCTATTGAATGTAATTTTAATTGGAGTGGGAGCCTCTTCTCTGCTTGTGAAGTTGCAGGAGAACCTTGCGTTTGTTCATGGCGCTCTTGCAGCAGGGAAGGTGTCATTCAGGAGTCCTTAAGAGCCAGATGAATGTACCAAAAATGTAAATAGCTGTAATAGTTGCTATTGTACAAAGCTACTCAGCAGAGCGAAAGTGAGCAGATCTGTAGAGGTGGAAAGTCTAAAAATGATCTCCACAGGTGATGTTAATCTGATTGTCTCTTCTCTTTTGACTTCATTTTTCTCTTTAATTTTCTTATATGACTGTCTTGTCATGTACTTTACTAACATAATTACTCTGGTTTCATC